CCACTTGCCTCTTTTCCCTCATCAATTATAAGGTTACCCTCATCCTTCATAAACCCATCCACAGACACATCAACTCCCAAATATCTGAAAACATTCACTTCTTCCATACTTCTCTCCAGTGTGATATCCAATTTTTTAACCTCATCACCTTACTCTTATCTATATCCACTTTCAGCTTTCTACCTTTACACACCCTCCCAAACTCATCCACTAACCTTTGCAACTTTTCTTTAGAATCGCCCATAAGCACAGTATCATCAGCAAAAAGTAACTGTCAACTCCCATTTTGTATTTGATTCCCCATAATTTAATCCCACCCCTCTCCCCATTTACTTATTTTACAACCCCATCTATAAATATGTTAAACAACCACGGTGACATTACACATCCCTGTCTAAGACCTACTTTTACTGGGAAGTAGTCTCCCTCTCTTCTACACACCCTAACCTGAGCCTCACTATCCTCATAAAAACTCTTTACAGCATTAGTAACTTATTACCTATTCCATACGCTTGTAACATCTGCCACATTGCTCCCTTATCCACTCTATCATATGCTTTTTCTAAATCCATAAATGCAATGAAAACTTCCTTACCTTTATCTAAATACTGTTCACATATATGCTTCAATGTAAACACTTGATCTACACATCCGCTACCCACTCTAAAGCCTCCTTGCTCATCCACAATCCTACTCTTTGTCTTACCTCTAATTCTTTCAGTAATAACTCTACTGTACACTTTTCCTGGTATACTCAGTAAACTTATTCCCCTATAATTTTTTCAGTCTCTTTTGTCCCCCTTCCCTTTATATAAAGGAACTGTACATGATCTCTGCCCTAGGTACCTTCCCCTCTTCCATACATTTATTAAACAAAAATACCAACCACTCCAACACTATATCCTTCCCTTCTTTTAACATTTCTGTCATGATCCCGTCAGTTCCTGCTGCTTTACCCCCTTTCATTCTACTTAATGCCGCACACACCTCTCCCACACTCACATCCTGCTCTTGTTCACTCCTAAAAGATGTTATACCTCCCTGGCCAGTGCATGAAATGACTGCCCCCCCTTCTTCGTCGACATTTAAAAGTTCCTCAAAATATTACCGCTACCTTTTTCTCTTTTATAACACCCTTTACTTCATCATTCCACCAATCACTCCTCTTTCCTCCTGCATCCACCCTCCTATAGTAATTATTACAGGAAAAGGGGTTACTAGCTCATTGTTCCTGGCATTTTAGTTGACTTTTACAACACGCATGGCTTACGGAGGAAAGATTCTTATTCCACTTCCCCATGGATATAAAAGGAAAAGCAATAGGAACAAGAACTATTAAGATAAAGTCAAAGAAAACTCAGATGAGTGTGTATATATAAACGTATACATGTATTTGCAGTGTGACCTAAGTGCAAGTACTTAGAAGTAACAAGACGTACCTGAAATCTTGCATGTTTGAGAGAAAAAAAGACACCAGCAATCCTACCATCATGCAAAACAATTACAGGCTTTCGTTTTACACTCGCTTGGCAGGATGGTAGTACCTCCCTGGGTGGTTGCTGTCTACCAACCTACTACCTACAAGTATATGTATATGTATAATTATTTTTACAGCCTTAATACAAACTTGAGACTGCTGTCAATGTCTTGAGATAAGTAAGGAATTGTTTAAGACCTTAAGACTTTTCCAGAGGGGTGCCTTGAAGCAAGTGAGAGCTTATGATCCAAAGAAATTGGAGCTAACCTCTCTTTCCTTCGATCAAACCTGAGTTTTCCCTCACTCCCATTCCCTAAGTGCTGTATGACCTTTACCCTTCTTGATGGTGGTGAGGGATTCTTCATTCAAGGAATTGGACCTGATCAAACCTGATTGCCTCCCATTTCTCCAGACACTATAACCCCAGAGGGTTTAGTGCTTCCCCTCAATAATGTAATGTAATGACTCGTATTTTCACCATTTCCCAATAAATATACAGTATCATCAAAATCTTAGTACATAAGGTATTTGGTTGTTAGGCAGGTACTGCCAATATTCATTTTTTTTATGCCTTTGAATTTACAGGCTGAGCTGTTATTCTTCCTTGGCTCATTTCAAAGCTATCAGTACCTAATGTATAATACATAACATATGCCACTCCTTGTGGTGCAACTCATATGAGCTAATAAACACCCAGGCTCTTATTTACTGCTAGATGAACAAGGGGTACAACAGGAGTTAAGAGACATGCTTAAATGTCTTGACTCAAATTGGAAATGAACTTGGGTCATTTAGTTTTTAATCTGAACACACCCTCTGAGCAACAGATCACAGTAATACTCTTGTATGTATATGAAGACCTATCCTGTTTATAACTGATGTGTGATAAGATAGCATTGTGTGGCATGAATTTAAATTTGCCTTTGTATAAAGGCAAAGGGAACAAAAGAGAGTGTAAAAATTATAGGGGAATATGTCGGAGTGTGGAAATTAGGAGAAGGTGTGGAGTTAATAAAAATGTATTAGTCAGTGGGCTGAAGAGGGTTGTTGAGGGGGTTTGATCATTTAGAGAGAATGGATCAAAGTAGAATGACTTGGAGAGCGTATAAATCTGTAGAGGAAGGAAGGCGGGGTAGGGATCGTCCTTGAAAAGGTTGGAGGGAGGGGTTAAAGGAGGTTTAGTGGGTGAGGGGCTTAGACTTCCAGCAAGTGTGAGCGAGTGTGTTAGATAGGTATGAATGGAGACGAATAGTTTTTGGGACCTGACGAGCTGTTGGAGTGTGAGCAGGGTAATGTTTAGTGAAGGGATTCAGGGAAACTGGTGATTTTTATATAGCCAGACTTGAGTACTGGAAATGGGAAGTACAATGCCTGCACTTAGAGGGGTTTGGGATATTGGCAGTTTGGAGGGATATGTTATATATCTTTATACAATATGCTTCTAAACTGTTGTATCTGGGCACCTCTGATAAGACAGTGATTATGTATGAGTGAGGTGAAAGTGTTGAATGATGATGAAAGTATTTTCTTTTTGGGGATTTTCTTTCTTTTTGGGTCACCCTGCCTCGGTGGGAGATGGCCGAATTGTTGAAAAAAAAGTGTTGAGTATACATGGTAAAGTGTATGGTAGTTATTATTGAAAGAATTGAGAGTTAGACTGAGAGCAGGATAGCAGATGAACAAGGAGGCCTTAGGAAGGGTAGGGGGTGTGTAGACCAAGTGTTTGCAGTGAAACATATAGGTGAACAGTATTTAGATAAGGGTAAAGAGGTTTTTGTGGCATTTATGGATTTCGAAAAGGTGTATGATAGGGTGGATAGGGGGCAATGTGGCAGATGTTGCAAATGTATATAACAGGAGGTAGGTTATTGAAAGCAATGAAGAGTCTTTACAAGGATAGTGAGGCTCAGGTTAGAGTGAAGGAAATCCTCTGGTTAGTTTTCAATTCAGTGGTAGTACACCAAGGAAAAAGACATTGGGCACCAAGAAAAATGTGAATAATTGAAGCACTCTGTCCTTTAATAAAACACTTTGTACAGTATGATAGAATCGTAAATTATTTACCACATGAATTCTGAGGCTTGTCTATAAATTAATTTTATCGTACATTTATTGAAGTCAGTTTTAATATTTAATTTTGTTAGAGGTGTAAATAATACGTGTATCTGCCAGTCAAACATTGCTAAAATAGCTGTATGTGTAGAACAACTACACACACATCTGGGAAACTTACCAGGCTTAGCAACTCAGGTGTAGCAAAGTTGTCTATATTATGCATTGTTGGAGAGCATTTCATCCCTCCATGGAAGATGTGTTCATATAATATCACATACCTGCAAGCCCCTCCTAAGAAGTTCATTGCTAGTAATCCCTTCCTTAAATCACTTGTAAAAGCAACTGTTCAAGAAGAAATTTCTCGCCTAGCTGGTAGTGATAAGTTATCACAATTTATATACATTGATGGATCTAAACAGGAGTTTCTGGCAGGGCTGCATCTGCTCTTGTTGCCACCTCCCTAGTTAAGAATAATAATAAATTTGTTGAACTAGGCATAAGAATTAACAACTGGGCAACTACACTGCAAACTGAATTGTTTGCAATCCTAATGGTGCTAAAGCTAACTTATGACACTGAGCTTGACTCTTATCATCATTATTGATTCTATATCATCATTGAAGGCTCTTGACTCATATAATGACTCCAACAACATGCTTATTGGAGAAGCCAGGTATAGATACTCAAAAATGAGGGACAAAGGAATTAATGTACAATTGCTATGGATCCCATCACACATAGGATTACTCCTTCATGATAAAATTGATATGTTAGCCTGAAGGAGAATGTAGAATATAACTTTGGTATATCTGTGTCTAGCATTAGGAATAATATTAGGAGAGAAGTAAATAATGAAAATGAATCTTATAGGAATGCAGTTAGAAGTCTGAGTAGATCTATAACACACTGTGATAACACGAATGTAGATAAGTATGTCTCTGGAGCAACTTGCAATGTGAACAGACTGACTGATGTTGTAGTGGCCAGGCTTAGGCTTGGCTACAAGTACTTCTGGCAGTTTGGGAGATGCACAGATGATCGAACTAGATGCAAATTGAGGTCAGGTATATGGTCACTCTTGAACACTATGTGCTTAATTGTTCACTTATCGAGGAATATAGAGATAGTATAATAACTTATGTGACATGTCAAGATATCTTATTAATGAAATTAAGATACCAGATATACTAAGGAAATTCCCTAAATTTGCTTGTAACAGGTAAGTGAACTGTAGATATAATCCAAATGTACAACTGTTAACCCTTTTGGGGCCTAGTTCCTGGGCCTTCTGTGTATCCATATGCTCTTGTGCTATTGTCTACAGGATGGATATGGGATGCACAATAAACTAGCCACTTTGATGGCAAAATCTAAACTCTAAATTCCTCCCTAGTACTGTACTGCATTTTTGAAATGACATTTGGTATACTAATAAAATTTTTCTTTTCAAAACTTAAAAAAATTTCAGATTGAAACTTCTCAACAGACAGTAAAGAGAAACAATTAATCATGAGGTGCCTGTGGGTAGTAGTGGTTCTAATGGCTGTTGCCTCTGTGGAAGCCAGTGGACCATTTCGTAAGATGTTTTCTAATCATGGAAATTTGAATATTCCTCCATCTTTGTGGGGTGATGTTGGAGACCCTCTCTTTTTAACACCACTTCTGGAAGCAGGAAAAATTAAGGTACTGAGTAGTTTAAAGCTGTCATATACATGTACATGAATTGAAAGTTAGAGATAGACAGTTTTAGTAATAAAAATTTGTTTTAAGTGTTATATGTAGCAAAGAATTTTTTTAAATGATGTTCATAAGGACATTCCCATTTTAAAGTGATTTTCAGTTTTATTGTTCAATTTTTTCTAACTTAAAATAATTTTTAGGAGGCAAGAACCCTGAGTCATGTGAGGCTTGGACACCGCCATGGTCACAGCTTCTCTGGCTTTTTTACAGTCAACAAACAGTACAACTCTAACCTCTTCTTTTGGTTCTTCTCAGCTAGGGTAAGTATACACATGATTTATTTTCCAGTAATTATCTTGACAAAGAATAGTTATAAGATATCTCATGCCCCATTACTTTATTTTGTGTACTCATTTTCCGTGTAGCATGTATTTAAGCAAGCCTTTGTGGTTTAGTGCTTTTTTTTTATAATAATAATAATAATAATTAAGCAGAAATGCTTACATGCTGGAAATGCTTTACATAAATATGGGGGTTTTCCATGTAAGAAATATTTGTATGAAATGTATCTTATCAGAAAATAAATATTATTATTAATTATAATTATTATGAATTTTATTTTTTATTGAAATAATGATGAATCAAAACTGCATGCTATATACAAGCATTATTAAGCATCGTGGGAATGAACTAAATAAAGTAGAAGGTAGCACACCAGACTGAGAATAATTTGAAGCAACGCCTGGGGGGTAAGGCCTTTATCCTAAAGAGGTTTTGCCACCTATTAGCATCATCGGTTCAGTACAGAGGTCACTTGAAAGTGTCGAAACTTGAGATGGTAGAAGACAAGGTAATTAGTATATAACTGATAAAGCCACTGGTTGGTGAAACCTCTTCATCTCATCAGTAATATATGCAATACAGTATGTGTACTTATGTACTACGTATTTAGTATTTAATCTTGTACAGTGGACCCTCGGTTCGCGATACTAATCCGTTCCTGAGAGCTCATCGTAAACCAAAAATATCGGAAAGCGAATCAATTTTCCCCATAAGAAATAATGGAAATCAAATTAATCCGTGCAAGACACCCAAAAGTATGAAAAAAAAAAACTTTTACAACATGAAATATTAAGTTTAATGCAATAGAATAGTAATTACAATAACAACAATAGCAATAAATAATGAAAGAATAATTGACACTTACCTTTAATGAAGATCTGGTGATGATTGATGGGATGGGAAGAGGGGAGTGTGTGGATGGTGTTAGCATTTAGAAGGGGAATCCCCCCTTCATTAGGACTTGAGGTAGCAAGTCCTTTTCCGGGGTTACTTCCCTTCTTCTTTTATCCCATAGGCCCAGGGGAGTCATGATTCCCTGTCGCACAACAAAAACTGGCAGCCTCCCCATGCCTAATTACACTATGTATACCACTATGATTCTTAAATCTTTCAAACCACCCTTTGCTGGCCTTAACCCTTTCAGGGTCCAAGGCCAAAATTTGAAGTCACGCACCAGTGTCCAAGAAATTTTAAAAAAAAAAAAAATTTTTTTTTTCTTACAGAATTAAAGGCTTTTTTTTTGTAAAGGAAATAAAACAAAAAAAAAAAAAAGAATCTGATCTACTTACCGAGTACAGTGCCAAGAATTTTATAAAAAAATGATGTGGTGGTGGCAACATGCGAATTCCACATCGCGTTTATTTTTATTTTGTTTTTTTTAGTTGTTTTTTCTTTTTTTTTCCCAAATTTTTTTCATTCCTCAAACTTTTGGGGGCCCCTGAGAGCCCCAATATGTATATAATTGATATATATAAATACTGTATGAACACAAAAACCGCATAAAGTTATTATCATTTATTGTTTCCCACTTTTTTTTATTACAATAAATGCACAATATTGTATATAAAATGTTCTTCATATATTTACATATTTAAAATCATGGCATGGTTTTAAAACTGTGGAGCTTGGGGGAACCCCTTGAAAAAAGGCACCAGCAAGAGGCACCTTACTTTCCTACACATAAACCGAGTGTTTTTTGCGTCTTTGTTGCGTCGTTTTGTTTGTGCAAGACAATGCCTCTTCTGGCAAATTTCTTTTGAGTTAAAGGGAAGCTTATTATGAAATGATCCCCTTCTCTCCTAAAACGCTTGGGTATACCCTGGGAATTCGAGGAAAATGTTGTATTGCAGGTGTTGTTCCCTGGTATTCATTATGGTTTTTCAACAGACAAACAAAATTACCATACGGGGTCTGTTCCAGTCTTTATTTGGTAATATTATATGCATTGAGCATTGAAATGCCCCATGAGATGGAAAAAAAGTTTCATGTACCACTTGTAACTTTACAAAACACATCAACAAAACCAATCGCTGTCACACTTGTCAACCAAGCGATGTTTTGGTATAATCAATCAGACATGGTTTTCGAATCGTTCATTAGTCTCTCGATCAACTTTGCCCTGTCTTGCTTTCTTTACAGTAAATGGTTGTCAACAATGTGACATATCGTTTGTTGCCCCCGTAAGCATGATGTCTTTGGGCAGTAAACCCCTGACGTATCCCCACAAACACCTGCGTTGACCCCTGGGCATATGTTTTACGATTAGAACGCACGTGCCACAACATCTGTTTGTTCACTCGCATGAAATACTGAGAATGGCTTTTTGACCGTTACGGTATATAATGTATCCCCCTTCCCAAGAAAAGGTGCCTATTTTTCTCACTCGTACCTGAGTCCCAAAAAAAACATCTTGGTATTTTTAATGTTTTACTCCCGTGTATTCAACAAATCCAAAAGGCCCCTGTCACAATCAAGAGTACAAACGTTTTATACCAAAACGGTTCCTCTTTTTCGGTATTTACTGCTTGAATGACAGTCTCCCCTTTTAACAAAAACAAAGACTCGTCAAATTCAAGATTCTTGAATGGATAAAAGTATATCCTGAACTTTTGTTTGAGATACATGAAAACATTTCAATCTTGTATAACGTCACTTCTGCAGGCCATTTTTTCAGAGAAATGCAACTACTAACAGTAAGAAAAACCGTTCCTGGTATTATTTTACTGAAGACCGGGGTGAAATTAGCCGATCTGTGGACCGTAGTTTTATATTTTGCTTTTAGACGTGAGGGGATAAACATTATCATTCAAAAAGCAAATACTTTCTGAACAGTCGTCTCTTTTCCCCCTGTTAGTCTTGACTGTGGGTGATAAGATCGTATTTGCCCTGGTGTACTGAAATACTTATTACTTTCCCCGGCAAAAATTTTTCAAAAGGGTCGTCAAAGAATAATTCAAAGAATTCCCGTTTATTGGCTTGTGGGTTTCCCAAGGGGGCGGTAGTTTAAATCCATTTGGAGTCTCAAAATGGTGAGGCTTGGGAACAAAATTGGGGTTTTGCTGCCAATCCACATAGGTTTTTGGTGGATACTGGACATCTAGGCTGGGTTTTACGGGTGGTTGTGGTTGTGGGGCTGGTGGCTGCGCTCCGTTTGTCCTTGAACTGACGATCAGCAGCATGGGTCCCCGCGTGGCACAGTGAGTCTGCATGGCGGTGCCCCTACCCCCACCAGCACCCCTAAAAACCATCCAATGATCCTGTGGTCACCCTGCCAAGTGTAGCCACATCTCCTCACTATCATACCTAAAAAGGGGGGTAGGGCCACGGATGTACTCCCTCCCCTGGGGACGCATAGGGTACATACCCCAGTGCATGCGGCGGCGAACATACCGACGCTTCACTGGTGAATATGATTCCCCATATCATACTCGGAAAATCGTCGAGCGCAATAAAAACACAACCACGTCAGAATATCGCATTACTAAAGTCAGAGGCCTGGCCATGCGAAAATTTAGTTTTCCTTAGTTTGGAAACCCGGGGGGTGGGTCACGAGGCCCACACCAGAGGGAAAGGTTGAGGATGTCGGGGTTTTTGCACTATTATCGATATCTGGTCATTTTTTCGGTCACAAATTATCAAAGCCCTTAGAATTGTTTCATTTCTACTTCCATCGTGTAGAACTATCAGACAGGAAAGGAGAGTCCCCCAAATTTTCCGGGGGGTGGAGGACTTGCGAAGAGGCAGGGAACAAGGGGGATGAGCCGGGTTCCCACAAGCTATGAGGCGCCCAGATTTTTTGTTTTTTCGGCGCACACCCACAGCGCAGACCCATTTTTTCTCACATGTAGGCCTATGTGTGCTTTCGCGTAAATTTGATGGCGTAGAATTTTGGGTTTGACCCACGGTTTGAACATCACCGTAAAACCCTGGATCTACGGGAGGACCCTGAAAGGGTTAAAATTTACTCACACACACTGTTGCAGGCAATTTTTTTACCTCGTTGCAACTGCCCAGCCTTTTCACAAATGATTGCTTGAGAGATGCTATCTCCTGCTATCTGTTTTTCATTTTTCCACACCAATAACAGTCTCCTCAACATTTTCTAACACTTGCGGTCGCTGTTTCGTAATCACAGTTGCACCTTTTGCAAGAACAGCTTCCTTGATTGCCGTTTTCTTGCTCACTATAGTAGAGATGGTTGATTGGGGTTTACTATACAACCTGACCAGCTCCGACACATGCACTCCACTTCTATACTTTGCAATTATCTCTTTCTTCATTTCAACAGTCATTAGCACCCTTGGTCTCGAAGGGTTGGCACTGGGAGCTTTCTTGGGGCCCATGGTGACTTATTTTGCAAAAACAGGCACCAAAAACAGTGATAATATGGATAATATGGAATGTACCGAATGTATCCTTAGATGCGCGCACACTGGCTGGCTTGTAAACACTGGCACACACGAGGCAGTTCAGGCCACACATGGACACGTCTCGTATGAACCACATCGCATACCGGGTTTTGTATCGGGAAGCGAGGCAAATTTTCTGCGATATAATGCATCGGTTACCGGATTTATCGGATACCGATAGCATCGCGAACCGGGGGTCCACTGTACTTGTAATAAAACATTGGTAGGTACAAAAGAAAGCCACTAATTATGCAGTGTAGTAATCATGTCTCTCCTAGTCTCTATGCTAAAGTCGTAAGTTTCAGCCTAGGAGAAAGTGTAAGGAAAAGCAGCATGGCAGAGAAGGATTATATATAAAGCACATAATAATGGAGTGAAGAGAAATATTAGTTTGTATATTAGGAGAAAATAGCTAATAGTGGAATTAAAAGAAGATGCAGGGAATCTTCAACCTGATTCACGACTGCCTTCATAACTTGTTTCTTTAGCAATCTTCAAGTTTCAAATCCATGATGTACTGCTTGCTATTCTTTGAAGTTAGTTTGTAGCATTCTTATAATCAAGTTTTTATATATAGTATTATATGTTAGTTTAGATTTTTCAACTAATTATTTTTTAACATGACATGCTTCCAGTAAATTAAATTTTTCCCTCTATTTGTCGCTAGAATTTTAAGAATAACAAATACAGTGGACCCTCGAATAACTCTATTAATCCGTTCCTGAGAGCTCATCGTTAGTCAAAATAATCGTTAGTCAAGTTAATTTTCCCCATTAGAAATAATGGAAATCAAATTAATCCGTGCAAGACACCAAAAGTATTGAAAAAAAAAAATTTTAACACATGAAATATTAATTTTAATACACACAAACTGAAGAAGACATGCACAGTTACATGACACTTAACTTTATTGAAGATCTGGTGATGATTGATGGGATGGGAAGAGGGGAGTGTGTTGATGGTCTTAGTGTTTAGAAGGGGAATCCCCTTCCATTAGGACTTGAGGTGGCAAGTCCTTTTTCGGGGTTACTTCCCTTCTTCTTTTAATGCTACTAGGACCAGCGTGAGAGTCACTGGACCTCTGTCGCACAACATATCCGTCCATAGAGGCCTGTACCTCCCGTTCCTTTATGACATTCCTAAAGTGTTTCACAACATTGTCAGTGTCACAATTAAACACTTGTTCATGTTCAGTCCTTCACTATGTACTCCTTGAATTCCTGCACATATTTTTCAGCTGCTTTTTGGTCCAAACTGGCAGCCTCACCATGCCTTATCACACTATGTATGCCACTACGATTCTTAAATCTCTCAAACCAACCTTTGCTGGCCTTAAATTCACTCACATCACCACTAGTTGCTGGCATTTTTCTAATTAAATCGTCATGCAACTTCCTAGCCTTTTCACATATGATCGCTTGAGAGATGCTATCTCTTGCTATCTGTTTTTCTTTTATCCATACCAGTAACAGTCTCTCAACATCTTCTATCACTTGCGATCTCAGTTTCGAAAACATAGTTGCACCTTTGGCAAGAACAGCTTCCTTGATTGCCGTTTTCTTGACCACAATAGTAGCGATGGTTGATAGGGGTTTTGTGTACAGCCTGGCCAGCTCGGAGACACGCACTCCACTTTCATACTTAGCAATGATCTCTTTCTTCATATCCATAGTAATTCTCACCCTTTTTGCTGTAGGGTTGGCACTAGAAGCTTTCTTGGGGCCCAAGGTGACTTATTTTGCAGGTGCAATCACTAAAAAGGCTGTGATAATATGAAATGTTCCGATTGTATGCTTGGAAGCGACCGCGGTGGCTGGCTGGCTTGTAAACACTGGCCAGAAGTGGACGCGTCTCAGACGGAACGAATAGTTTTTTAGCGCTAATCGAGGCAAAATTTTTGTGATAAAATGTATCGCTAGTCAGATTTATCGTTAATCGATGCCATCGCTGGTCGAGGGTCCACTGTATACAGTTCCGTATTTGTTTCCCAGACAGGATCAGCTGATGCCCCAGTGATAGTATGGCTTCAAGGGGGACCTGGTGGCTCCTCTCTCTTTGGTTTGTTTAATGAGAACGGACCTTTCAGTATTGATGCCTCTCGGCACGTTGTTCCTCGCAACTTCTCCTGGAACACCAATCATAATGTTATATACATTGATAATCCAGTAGGCACAGGTAAGAAGAGTATACATATTTTAATTGAGAGTACAGTTGGCATATGAACTGTTACAGCTGTGTTAGGTAAAAACCTTGGATTGACATGGGAATTAGTTGTTCTACACATAAGGCTATTTTAGTAATGTTTGACTGGCAGATATTATTTACACCTCTAACAAAATTAAAGATTATAACAGACTTTAGTAAATGTACAAAAAAAATTAATTTATGTATAGACAAATTAAATAATTTGTGATACTATCATACTGTACTAAGTGTTTTATTAAAGGCCAGAGTGCTTCAGTTATTCACATTTTTCTTGGTGCCCAATGTCTTTTTTTCCTTGGTGTACTACTGCTGAATTGAAAACTAACCAGATGATTTCCTTCAGAATGTGCACATCTTTATCACAAATGTCAATATCAAGCAAATGAGAGTAGACATTAGAAAAGAGATGACCAAAAAACTTCAAATAATTTGAAAATTCAAAATTCCCACTGCTTTAGGACAAACAGCACATCCAGGAATCTAACCTTCCAAACTAAGGGGTTGACCTGTATGTACAGTATTTGTATTTGTAAATCTGATAATTGCACCAGCTATATAAAAGATTTTTTTTTTTTTTCAACAAGTCGGCCGTCTCCCACCGAGGCAGGGTGACCCAAAAAAGAAAGAAAATCCCCAAAAAGAAAATACTTTCATCATCATTCAACACTTTCACCACACTCGCACATTATCACTGTTTTTTGCAGAGGTGCTCAGAATACAACAGTTTAGAAGCCTACACATATAAAGATACACAACATATCCCTCCAAACTGCCAATATCCCAAACCCCTCCTTTAAAGTGCAGGCATTGTGCTTCCCATTTCCAGGACTCGAGTCCGATTATACGAAAATAACCGGTTTCCCTGAATCCCTTCACTAAATATTACCCTGCTCACACTCCAACAGATCGTCAGGTCCCAAGTACCATTCGTCTCCATTCACTCCTACCTAACACGCTCATGCATGCTTGCTGGAAGTCCAAGCCCCTTGCCCCCCACAAAACCTCCTTTACCCCCTCTCTCCAACCCTTTCGAGGACGACCCCTACCCCGCCTTCCTTCCCCTATAGATTTATATGCTTTCCATGTCATTCTACTTTGATCCATTCTCTCTAAATGACCAAACCACCTCAACAAGCCCTCTTCTTGCCCTTTGACTAATACTTTTATTAACTCCACACCTTTTCTCTAATTTCCACACTCCGAATTTTCTGCATAATATTTACATCACACATTGCCCTTAAACAGGACATCTCCACTGCCTCCAACGTCTCCTCGCTGCTGCATTTACCACCCAAGCTTCACACACATATAAGAGTGTTGGTACTACTATACTTTCATACATTCCCTTCTTTGCCTCCATAGATAACGTTTTTTGACTCCACATATACCTCAACGCACCACTCACCTTTTTTCCCTCATCAATTCTATGATTAACCTCATCCTCATAAATCCATCTGCCGACATGTCAACTCCCAAGTATCTGAAAACATTCACTTCTTCCATACTCCTCCTCCCCAATTTGATATCCAATTTTTCTTTATCTAATCATTTGACACCTCATCACCTTACTCTTTTCTATGTTCACTTTCAACTTTCTACCTTTACACACATTCCCAAACTCATCCACTAACCTTTGCAATTTTTCTTTAGAATCTCCCATAAGCACAGTATCATCAGCAAAAAGTAACTGTGTCAATTCCCATTTTGAATTTGATTCCCCAAAATTTAATCCCACCCCTCTCCCGAACACCCTAGCATTTACTTCCTTTACAACCCCATCTATAAATATATTAAACAACCATGGTGACATTACACATCCCTGTCTAAGACCTACTTTTACCGGGAAGTAGTCTCCCTCTCTTCTGCACACCCTAACCTGAGCCTCACTATCCTCATAAAAACTCTTTACAGCATTTAATAACTTAACACCTATTCCATATACAGTGGACCCCCGGTTAACGAACTTTTTTCGTTCCAGTCGTATGTTCAGGTGCCAGTACTGACCGAATTTTTTCCCATAAGGAATATTGTGAAGTAGATTAGTCCATTTCAGACCCCCAAACATACACGTACAAACGCACTTACATAAATACACTTACATAATTGGTCGCATTTGGAGGTGATCGTTAAGCGGGGGTCCACTGTACTTGCAACATCTGCCACATTGCTCCTCTATCCACTCTATCATATGCCTTTTCTAAATCCATAAATGCAATAAAAACTTCCCTACCTTTATCTAAATACTGTTCATATATATGCTTCAATGTAAACACTTGATCTACACATCCTCTACCCACTCTGAAACTTCCTTGCTCATCCGCAATCCTACATTCTGTCTTACCTCTAATTCTTTCAATTATAACCCTACCATACACTTTTCCTGGTATACTCAGTAAACTTATTCCTCTATAATTTTTACAGTCTCTTTTGTCCCCTTTCCCTTTATATAAAGGGACTATACATGCTCTCCGCCAATCCCTAGGTACCTTCCCCCCTTTCATACATTTATTAAACAAAAGTACCAACCACTCAACACTATATCCCCCCTGCTTTTAACATTTACTGTCATGATCCCATCAGTTCCAGCTGCTTTACCCCCTTTCATTTTATGTAATGCCTCACGTACCTCCCCCACACTTACATTCTGCTCTTCTTCACTCCTAAAAGATGGTATACCTCCCTGACCAGTGCATGAAATTACTGCCTTTGTTTCTTCCTTAACATTTAAAAAGTTCCTCAAAATATTCTTGCCATCTACCTAATACCTCCATCTCCCCATCTACTAACTCCCCTACTGTAATAATAATACTGTACAAGGTGTTTGACTTGTTTAGCTATATTAAGATTAGCTGTAATTCAGATAGGCAACTACATAAACTTTTTAAGATTGTTAATAAACACTGGATACTACATACATAGTACAGTGGACCCTTGACTAACGATCAGCTCCCAACTCGACCAGTTATGTAAGTGTATTTTTGTAAGTGCTTTTGTATGTGAATTTTTGGGGGTCTGAAACGGACTAATCTATTTCAAAATACATGTATTCCTTATGGGAACAAATTCGGTCGGTAACGGCGCCCGAACAGACGTCTGAAATTAAATAATATCGTTAGTCGAGGGTCCACTGTGTTTGATCCACATGGGTTTAGTGTTTCTTTTGCTTGAATATTCAGTATTCAAATAATAATAACAGCAATACAGTAAACCCTCTATTTAATGGACTAATTAAGGGGAGCAGGTGGACAGTAATGACAATTGTGTAGGATAGAGAAAAGATTATTTTGTTGTGATTGTAACAGTGAACAGTTCTGTGACCAAAAGACTTAACCCATTGTTTCCAAATTCCTTGACCTAGCATTTTTTTTTTTCCTATTTCCAAGGTCTGTTAAATGGAGAGTTTACTGGACTACAGTACCACAAGCATAGTTGAAAGTACATACTGAATAGGATTCTGATAATCAGGAAAATATGAAAGACAGTAAGATGCTTAGTCAGGTTAGTAATACTGTATATCAGACAAGTCTTATTAACCTTTAAACTGTCCAAACGTAAATCTACGTTCACTCGTGTGGCCCTCTGAATATTTTGAAAAATAAAAAATTTTGTTTGTTTGTTTTTTAATGAAGAGCACCTTTTCTACATGTTATAGGATTAAAAAAAATTTTTAGTCAGTACTTACTGAGATATAAGACCGTGAAGTTGGCTCTGGATGCTCACTTGACGGCAACATCAACTCCTGCCACTTGCAGAAGTGTTGCCGATATACCTTTTTTTCGTTTTTATTTTAATTTATATACTTTTTTATATTTTGATAATTACAATTTATGATAGTTCTTGTGATTTCATAACCAGTCTTTGTTCTGACACTAATATTAGGTACTGAAATTATACTCAAATAATCACAATCACATTGACAGGTGAACATTTACACCTGCCTGGGTTATTTACTATTGTCTAGAAATATATACAAAGTATTTATAGGTCCCAGCAATGTTTTAGATACCCTGGCATATACCTTGAAGTATGTTGTTATGAAAGGCATCCCTTATACTGTTGACAGCCCAGTGACATTAGATAAATGCCCACTGCTCCAGCTAACCCTCACTGTATTTGTTATCACTGTTACACACAAACATGTCTCTCTGTCTGTCTCTGCTTATCTGTCTTTCTGTCTGCCAGGAGTATACTATATCAAACTCCTTGAAGAAGGGTGTTATGACATCTGTTGACAGCCCAGTGACATTTGATAAATGGGTGCTCGGGGAACCCTGGCTTTATTTGTTTTCACTGATACACACAAACATGTTTGTCTGTCTGTCTATCTGTGTGTGTCTATCTGTCTGTCTTTCCTGGAATTTTTGGGTAATCCTAGGTAATTTACACTATGTATAATACCTGTACTTACATTTACATGCGAGAGAGATAGACAGAGATATAGACAGATGCAGAGATATAGACAGACAGCCAAACCCAGTCAAAGCCAGCCAGCTGGCCAGCCTGCTGAATACATAAGAACATAAGAAAGAAGGAACACTGCAGCAGGCCTACTGGCCCATGCAAGGCAGGTCCATGTCCTCCCCCCTCCCCACAGCTTAGACCAATGACCCACCTAGTTAGGTCACATCCACTGAAGGAAGGAGCACGACATCAGACCTAGTAGTACAAGCTAGTCAGGTCCAACTCGCACCCACCCACACTCACTCGTTTATTTATCTAACCCTCGCTGTATTTGTTATCACTGTTACACACAAACATGTCTGTCTGTCTATCTGTCTCTCTATTTGTCTACCTGTCTCTGCTTATCTGTCTGCCTGGAGTATACATATATCAAACTCCTTGAAGAAGGGTGTTACGACATCTGTTGATAGCCCAGTGACATTTGATAAATGGGTGCTCGGGGGAATCCTGGCTTTACTTGTTTTCACTGATATACACCAACATGTTTGTCTGTCTATCTATCTATCTGTCTGTCTATCTTTGCCTGGAATTTTTTGGGTTATCCTAGGTAATTTACACTATGTATAATAACTGTACTTACGTGTACATGTGAGACAGAGATGTAGATACAGAGATGTAGATGCAGAGATGTATAGATGCAGAGATGTATAGATGCAGAGATGTATAGATGCAGAGATGTATAGATGCAGAGATGTATAGATACAGAGATGTATAGATACAGAGATGTATAGATACAGAGATGTATAGATACAGAGATGTATAGATACAGAGATGTATAGATACAGAGATGTATGATACAGAGATGTATAGATACAGAGATGTATAGATACAGAGATGTATAGATACAGAGATGTATAGATACAGAGATGTATAGATACAGAGATGTATAGATACAGAGATGTATAGATACAGAGATGTATAGATACAGAGATGTATAGTACAGAGATAGTATAGATACAGAGATGTATAGATACAGAGATGTATAGATACAGATGATTAAAGATTACAGAGATGTATAGATACAGAGATGTATAGATACAGAGATGTATAGATTACAGAGATTATGATGTACAGAGATGTATAGTACAGAGATGTATAGATACAGAGATGTATAGATACAGAGATGTATAGATACAGAGATGTATAGATATATAGATGTACAGAGATATATAGATGTACAGAGATATATAGATGTACAGAGATATATAGATGTACAGAGATATATAGATGTACAGAGATATATAGATATATAGAGATATATAGATATATAGATACAGAGATGTATAGATATAGAGATATATAGATATAGAGATATATAGATATATAGATATAGAGATATGTAGATATAGAGTTAAAGAGATGAATAGATATAGAGATGAATAGATATAGAGACGAATAGATATAGAGATGAATAGATATAGAGATGAATAGATATAGAGATGAATAGATATAGAGATGAATAGATATAGAGATGAATAGATATAGAGATGAAAAGATATAGAGATGAAAAGATATAGAGATGAAAAGATATAGAGATGAAAAGATATAGAGATGAAAAGATTAGAGAGAAAGATATAGAGATGAAGAGATATAGAGATGAAGAGATATAGAGATGAAGAGATATAGAGATGAAGAGATATAGAGATGAAGAGATATAGAGATGAGGTTATAGAGATGAAGGTATAGAGATTGACGGATATAGAGATGATGAGATATGAGATACAGGGATATAGGATAGAAAGGAGATGAACAGCCAGAGACAGCACAAAGCAAGCCAGCAGCCAGCCAGCAGCTGCCAAAATATATCTATAGAACTTTCAGAAGAAGGAAACTGCAGCAGGCCTCTGGCTATGCATATGCCGGTTTCATTCAACTCCACCCACACCTTCCCCGTTTTTTTAAACCAATGACCCACCTAGTCAGGTCACATCCTTTGAAGGAAGGAGCATGACATCAGACCTAGTAGCACAAGCTAGTCAGGTCCAACTCACACCCACCCATACTCACTCATGTATTTATCTAACCTATTTTTACTTTCCTCTTAAAATGGGAGTGTTAATGTGACATGGCATCAGTGAATCCCTTGTGTTTGCTATGCTATTTGCTCTAGCTGGCTCTCAATTGAACTGATGCCCCCACAAGGTCCTAAGTGCTCCCAGATTTTTTTAATACTGCGCACACTGAGTGTACAGACCCATTCTTTCATGTCTAGACGACTCGAGCCTATTGTGCCAAATTTGAAGGAAAGAAAAATAAAACATTGATTTACGTTCGGAGCGCTGTGCGAGAAAATGTATATCTATATTTGGACAGTTTACGGGTTAAAGAAGTAAAAGAACATGAGGAAATAATTCTTTACTAACTTTGTTTCATTTAGAAGTCTTGTGAATTGTTTGGCATACTTTCTAGTAAACTATCCTTGAATTTTTGCAGAGATATGGCACATACAAGATCCATTTTTTTTTTAACACTGGGTGTCTCCCACTGAGGCAGGGTGACCTGAAAAAGAGTTTTTCTTTAAAGTTTTAGTAATTTAGTCACCTCTTCTGACACACATGTCCTACAAGGGAAGGGCTCTTTTTCACTTCCCCACAGAGAAGGATATGAAGCTGGATCTTTCTGGCAATAATTTTAAAACAGGGGCCTGTAGATGTAGAGCAACATCCTAATATAAGAAAAACTTGTATGTTTGGTAGTTTTTAAGATGACTTTTACATACATTTTTACATTTTCTGGCTATAAATTAACAAATGCATGTTACAATATTTGATACTGAATGTTGACTTTGCTTACCAGGGTTCAGCTTTACAAGAAATGATACTGGTTATGCTAGAAATGAAACAGATGTTGGCAGAGATCTTTATGTTGCCATGGTGCAGTTCTTCACAATGTTTCCTGAGCTGCAGCACAATGATTTTTTCGTCACTGGAGAATCTTATGCAGGTGAGGTAGTCATCTCAAATTACAGCCTCTCCTCACTTAACAGTTCTGTTCCTAAGACCATGTCGGTAAACGAATTTGTCACTAAGCGAGGAGCATACTATAATGGTAGTGGGTTTGTGTCAACCATCTTTGATATTGTTTTAATGTCACCTTTCCACAATTTGTAACATTTCTGGTATATTTTTAAGTGTTTATGTGGTAGTGTACTGTATATTGAAATAAACAGAATAGAGGAAATCAGCTCTAATATACAGTACGTATTTAGGTATGAATACTAGCCAGAGAGCCTGTCATGAGTCCGAGGAGTCGGTAAATGAGTACGTCACTGAGGAGAGGCTGTAATGATAAAGATCTACAGTAGTCTCCCCCCCCCCCCCCCGACTAAAATGCTAGGACCAAGGGGTTACTAGCCCCTTGCTCCTAGCATTTTGATCACCTCTTATAGCACACATGGCTTACAGAGGAAGAATTGTTCCACTTTACCATGGAGATAAGTAAAAAAAAACAAGAACTATTAAGAATATGGAAGAAAACCCAGAGGGGTATGTACAGTAGGGCCCTGCTTTACAGCGTTTCGCTTTATAGCATTCACTAATACAGACATACCAAATTATGACCATAACTCTCAGTATGGCTCCTCCCACCTGACTTTCTAATACGGTCACCGCGCCACACCCGGTTTGTTTACATTCTCCATGAGCTCCGCGTCTCTCTTTAATGTCTGGAAACTTTCTAAAATTTCAAGTGTTTTAAACTTATTTCATATTATATATACAGTGGACCCCCACCTTACGATATTAATCCGTTCCTGAGAGCTCATTGTATGCTGAAATTATCGCAAGATGAATTAAGTTTCCCCATAAGAAATAATGGAAATCAAATTAATCCGTGCAAGACACCACAAAGTATGAAAAAAAATTTTTTTTTACCACAAGAAATGTTAATTTTAATACACACAAACTGACACTTACCTTTATTGAAGATTTGGTGATGATTGATGGGATGGGAGGAGGGGAGAGTATGGAAGTTGTTAATGTTTAGAAGGGGAATCCCCTTCCATTAGGACTTTAGGTAGCACGTCCTTTTCCTGGGTTACTTCCCTTCTTCTTTTAATGCCACTAGGACCAGCTGACCATGGTGCAGCAACAGCTGACTGTGGTGCAGCAACAGCTGACTTTGGTGCAGCAGCAGCTGACCGTGATGCAGCAACAGATGATGGTGGTGTAGCAGCAGCTGACTGTGGTGCAGCAGCAGCTGACCGTGGTGCAACAGCAGCTGACTGTGGTGCAGCAGCAGCTGACCGTGGTGCAACAGCAGCTCAGCATGGTGCAGCAACAGCTGACTGGTGCAGCAACAGCTGACCGTGGTGCAGCAACAGCTGACACTGGTGTAGAAGCAGCTGACTGTGGTGCAGCAGCAGCTGACTGTGGTGCAGCAGCAGCTGACTGTGGTGCAGCAGCAGCTGACCATGGTGCAGCAGCAACTGACCGTGTGCAGCGCAGACGCAGCAGCATGACCGTGGTAGCAACAGCAGCTGACCATGGTTCAGCAACAGCTGACTGGTGCAGCAACAGCTGACCATGGTGCAACAACAGCTGACCATGGTGCAACAACAGCTGACAGTGGTGTAGCAGCAGCTGACTGTGGTGCAACAGCAGCTGACCGTGGTTCAGCAACAGCTGACTGGTGCAGCAACAGCTGACCAAGGTGCAGCAACAGCTGACCGTGGTGCAGCAGCAGCCGACCATGGTGAAGCAACAGCCGACTGTGGTGCAGCAACAGCAGATGGTGGTGCAGCTGCAGCTGACCATGGTACGATAGTACATATTTCTCACCCTTTTTACCACAGGGTTGGCACTAGAAGCTTTCTTTGTTCCCATGGTGGCTTATTTAGCAGTTACAAGCACTATAAACAATGGAATAATACAAAATGTATCGAATGTATGCATGCAAGCGGCCACCCTGGCTTGTAAACAATGACGGCAGTCCAGCTGAGGCGCTCGGGCTAGTCGAACAGGTTCGGGACGAGTCATGTTGGTCAGAAACAGCTGTTGGTGGTGCAGCAGCAGCTGACTGTGGTGCAGCAGCAGCTGACTGTGGTGCAGCAACAGCTGACCGTGGTGCAGCAACAGCTGACTGTGGTGCAGCAATAGCTGATGGTGCAGCAGCAGCTGACCATGGTCACGATAGTACAGTATTTCTGCAACACTCTGTTTTACACAGCGACTTGTGCACAAAGCTATCCGTTGTTGCGCAATGGTGGCAATTTAGCTGAGTGATACAGCAACTGATTAAACAATGGAATAATACAAAATGTTTCGAATGTATTGATGCAAGCGGTGCACCCTGGTTTAAACCAGGTGTATGGCAGTCAGTAGGCACTCAGTAGACATGAATAACATGTTCGGGACGAGTCATGTTGGTACATGAACACAGCTGAGGTAGAAGTTTGGCTGAGTCAGTTGCAGCAGCTGATGTGGTGCAGCAGCAGACGTGCGCAGCGCTGACTGGTGTAGCAGCAGCTGACCTGGTGCAGCAGCAGCTGACCGTGGTGCAGCAGCAGCTGACCGTTGTTCAGCAACACCTGACTGGTGCAGCAACAGCTGACCGTGGTGCAGCAACAGCTGATGGTGGTGTAGCAGCAGCTGACTGTGGTGCAGCAGCAGCTGACCGTGGTGCAGCAGCAGCTGACCATGGTGACAGCGTGCCAGGTGCAGCAGCAGCTGGCCATGGTGCAGCAGCAGCTGACCATGGTTCAGCAACAGCTGACTGTGGTGCAGCAGCAGCTGTGCGCAGCAGCTGCCGGTGCAGCAGCAGCTGACATGGGTGCAGCAGCAGCTGACCGTGGTTCAGCAACAGCTGACGGTGGTGTAGCAACAGCTGACCGTGGTGCAGCAACAGCTGACCGTGGTGCAGCAGCAGCTGAGAGATGGTATCTCCTGCTTTCTGTTTTTCGTTTATCCACACCAATAACAGTCTCTCAACATCTTCGAGTACTTGCGATCTCTGTTTCGAAAACAAACTTGCACCTTTTGCAAGAACAGCTTTCTTGATTGCCATTTTCTTGGCCACAATATTAGCGATGATTGATTGGGGTTTGGTATACAACCTGGCCAGCTCCAACACACGCACTCCACTTTCGTACTTAGCAATTATCTCTTCTTCGTTTCCATAGTAATTTTCACCTTTTTTACCGCACGGTTGGTACTAGAAACTTTCTTGGGGCCCATGGTGATTTATTTTGCAGGTACAATCACTAAAAACGCTGTGATAATATGAAATGTTCCGATTGTATGCGTGGATGTGACCGCACTGGCTGGCTTGTGAACACTGGCACCCATGGGGCAGCTGAGGCACACTCAGGCCACACGTGGGATGCATCTCGGACGAATTGCGTGAGGTGAGGCAAAATTTTTGCGTGAAAATGTATCATATGGTGGATTTAACGTAAGGTGATGCCATCGTATGGTAGGGGTCCACTGTACTTCCCATTTCCAGAACTCGAGTCCAGCTATATAAAAATAACCGGTTTCCCTGAATCCTTTCACTAAATATTACCCTGCTCACACCCCAACAGCTCATCAGGTCCCAGAAACATTTGTCTCCATTCACTCCTATCTAATACGCTCATGCACGCTTGCCTGAAGTCCAAACTAATTGTTATTACAGCTAATTTGCATTTTTATCTTTTCAGGGAAGTATGTTCCAGCCTTGGCATACACCATCCACAAGTTGAATCCTGCAGCAAAATTGAAGATAAACTTGAAAGGTATGTGACAAAGTAACCATTTTGTTATTTCAGGAAAATGTTTTCCACTTGCTAAATATTTTTTCTTGTATAAATATTTACTGGAGTAACTTGAGTAATGGATAAGAGAATATTTAACTGAGGGTGGTATTTCAGTGAGGGAGTTGGTGTCATGATGGAATGCAGTAACAAGTGTATGCATAATTTAGTTTTTTTTTTTTTTAGCCCATTCTGTTAGTGTACCTAAGGAAATTAGACTTCACATTAGTATTTGAAACTATTGTAAAAGTAATAAATAGAATAAGAATATAGTGGAACTGCAACATGTTAGATAAAGATGGCTGAATATGTGGCTGTTGAAATTGAATCCCAGGCTAAAACAAGAAGGAATAATCTCAGGGCAATCATCATCACGCTGGAAAAAAAAAAATTTCACTAGACAGACAAAAAGGAGGATGACAGCGTCATGTACTAAGCTGGCAAATATGAGAAATTTGAACAAAGAAGCTTGCAGAATGTTGTTCACAAAGGTAAGACCAGCTAGTGTACTGCAGTGTTAACTTGTTAACTTAGGACTCCAGTATTTGTTAGACCACTGGTTCAGTGCTGTGTCAGAGATAAAAAAAAAAAGGCAGTATGGTTTGAAATTACTCAGATGAATCAGATCTTAGGAAATATGTCTTCAATGTAAGTGATATATAGAATTTAAGCAAAGTCATTGGAAGCAAGCTCTATATTAGGAGAGAAGGGTGTCCCCTCAAGAAGGCTTTCTTGATGGTGGTGATGCTAAGTAACTCCAATGAATAGTAGGAGATCCTTAACCCTTAAACGTAGATCTATGTTTATGCACATAGCGCTCCGACTTCGATTTTCTCTATTTGAAAGCATGTAAAAAAAAAAAAATGTAGATCTACATTCAGAGAGCTACGTGAGCAAACGTAGATCTACGTTTGGACAGTGTAAGGGTTAAATAAGAGTGCTCAGTTAACTTTATTCACTGATCTTAAATCTCATTATTGTTCATATTTTATGCTGGTTTTATAGAAAATGGTGGCTAACAAAACATTGTTGGTTTAATATAAAGGTATTCATTTCTTGTCACACAGGAATTGCAATAGGAGATGGTTTTTGTGATCCAATTTCTATGGTGGATTATGGAGACTTCCTCTATTATATTGGTTTAATTGATGATATTGACCTAAAATACTTCAAGAAACAGAGTGCACTGGCAGTCTCTTACATGAATCAACATGGAGTGGCTTAAGGCCTTTCAGGTGTGTTTTCTTTCTTCACCTGTTGGGTTAGTCCCATATCTCTGCAAACTTGTTACCTATAGTATACCTGGAGGGTGTTTCGGGGATCAACACCCCCACAGCCTACTCCATGACTAGGCCTCGTGGTGGATCGGGACCTGATCAGCCAGGCTGTTAATTCTGGCTGCACGCAAACTGACGTATGAACCACAGCCCGGCTGGTCAGGTGCCTCTCCAGCTCCCTCTTGCAGACAGCCAGGGTGTTATCCCTTTGTTTTTCATCTTTACAAACTGGTCAAAATTTAATGATTGTGCACTTAACCCTTTGAGGGTCGACAGGCCCTCTCCGAGACTCGTTCTCAGGGTCGGCCAAATTTAAAAAAAAAAAAATAATTCTCTCTTATGAAAAGATAGAGAATCTTTTCCCAATCACAATGACACCAAAAATTTGAAATTTGATGGAAAACTTACGGAATTATGCTCTCGCGAAGTTAGCAGTCTCGGCGTGTTTACGCATCGGCAATCTTGCCCACTTTGAGCCCCATTTTCGGCCAATTCCACTGTACTAGTCAACAAAAAACATGAATATTTCGCTAGAACTCCATTTTTTCTATCGAATGAGTGCAAGAAATCACCCATTTATCAATTTCAACTATCCAGTACAGTGGTCAGAATTTAGCAATTTTGCCAATTTCACACAAATTTCAAAAAGTGCCAATTTCTGAATAGGGTCCAGAATAAACAAGAAAGGCATTCCTGGCACTAAAATGACATTTCCTCTGTTCATTAGTCACATCTCAAGGCCCCTCTTACATTCTTTTGCTTTCCAGTTTGAATTTTTATTCTCACAAAAAATAGAAGATTTACTGTTATGCAGACTAATGCATTAGTGTAAAAAATGATATAAATAATATTGGCGTACTTGCAAAAGAATATTAGACTCACCAGTTGATGTGTATTGGACGCTTGGCATGATTTGTTTACTTTTGAACTTTGGTAAAAATCGAACATTTCTGCTACTTTGAGCTCAATTTCAAGGTACTTTTCATTGTAAAACCAGTCAAAATCATCTCAATTTCTGTAAAATGTCGTCCATTCTATAAAATGAGACCAAGAAAACTAGAATACAACAATAAATACCATACGAAAATACAGTGCAAAGCCGCTGTTTTATTCCAAAAAAACGGTCAAAGTTTTTTTTTTTCTCATTATGCACTGTGCGCTGCAGGATTTTTTTATACTGTGCACACTGACCACATAGACCCATTCTTTCATATGTAGGCCTACCAGCTTTCTCCCACTAGATTTGAGGGCGCTAGAATTTAGGCGTACTAGTACAGTGGTCCCTCAATAATCGTCCATAATCCGTTCCTGGAAGTGGGACTATTATCGAAATGGACGATTTTCGAATCAATTTTCCCCATAAGAAATAATGTAAATCCAATTAATTCGTTCCAGACACCCAGAAGTATCAACAACAATTTTTTTTTTACCTAAAAGATAGATTTACATGCACAAAAGAATGAACATTCAACATGAAAGTTATCTTTATTGAAGGCTGTTGTTGATGAATGGAAGACAGGGAGGAGGAGAAAGGGAAGAGAGGTTATTTGGAAGGGGAATCCCCCCTCCATAAGGACTCTAGGGCACTAATAAAATGTATAAATGAACATTGTGAACAATAAAATGGTATAAAATACCGACAGGTTGTTTAGGCAAGACACATACGCAACAGTTAGGTATCTTTATTTTGAAACGTTTTGCCTACACAGTAGGCTTCTTCAGTCGAGTACAGCAAAGTTGATAGAAGCAGAAGAGACTTGAAGACGATGTAATCAGTCCATCACCCTTGAAGTTTTGAGGTGGTCAGTCCCTCAGTCTGGAGAAGAGTATTGTTCCATTGTCTGGAATAATATTATTCCATTGTCTGGAATAATAATATTCCATTGTCTGGAATAATATTATTTCAGACAATGGAACAATACTCTATCTCCAGACTGAGGGATGACACCTCATAACTTCCAAGGGTGAATGGACTGATTACATCGTCTTAAAGACTGCTCTATCAACCTCAAACTTGAAGGGCTACTGGACTGATTAACGTTAAATCAAGATACCTACTGTTCTGCTTCCTAATGAACTTTGGTAATCAGGTGTGAAGAAGCGTCTGTGTAGGTGAAACGTTTAAACAGATAAAAGTACCAAACTGTTGCATTGGTCTTACTAAATAACTGGATAATAGGGGTTGGTTTGATGGACTTGACCGGTTTTGCCTGGTCAGTTGTTTGAAGTTTGGGATTTTGAAACCGGTAGTTGGACCAACAGGCCTATCTCCATGTTCTCTTTTGTTATTTCATTATATAAATACACGAGTAAAAGGGTTGGATTTGAGTCGGACTTGCACCTGAGTTTATTGCTTGGGATAGCATTTGTTCTGTTAGTGGGTTGGATTTGTGAAGGACCGGCCTAGTATGGGCCAGCAGGCCTGTTCCAGTGTTCCTACTTTCTTAATTCTATTACATCACACTTACCAGTAAGGTGATCGAGGCTAGGACCTTGGGTAGCTTCAAGAAGAGATTGGACAAATATACGAGTTGGAGGAGCTGAGTTTGATTTGTGTCATTGGGTACGGGAGTAAATTCTTGGGTAGCTTTGGGTGGAGTCATTTTGATAAGGACCTGCCTTGTATGGGCCAGTAGACCTGCAGTGTTCTTCCATTGTTATGTTTTTACTGGCTATTTGTTTGTGAGGGAGGGATGGCAAGTTTATTGTTGGAGAATATGACACTATATAATATGGCTTATTTATCTATCACAATGACATAATAAACATAATAAAAAATTAAAACATGGAAAACTAAATGAATAAATAAGTCATAAGTAATGTCACGAAATGTAGTGTTGGTGTTGTTGGGTTATTGGTGGTTAAGGCCAAATGGGTGAGCCAGCATATGGTTTTTGAGCTTAGAACTCCAAAATTGGAGGATTCGTAGAATCCTGAACACATTGAAGGACTTACCACCATCACTACACTCAAAGATTACCCTTACACCACACTACTACTTACTTCCCTCATAAAACCCCGAAGAAAGCTTCTAGGCAGCCCTTTGGTCAAAGAATGTGAAAACAATTTAGAAATTATAGAACAAAACAAAGCCAAGTGGAGTGGAGCTTGTTGAGGTCAAATTATAGGATTTCTCACTGAGTAATACCTGTAGGCCCATGGCAGTCTTTTACTATATCCATGACCCACAAAGATTAGCCTCCATTATGTCCCCAAAAAAGGATGGATAATCTCTAGACAACATCGGCAGAATGACTAAAATGATTTACTGTGTAAGGAACCTCCATATAAGATAGACTTAAATGCCTGTACATCTCCACTGCTTGGGAAAGTCGTAGGGGAGAATTAAGACGTTCGAGGATGGCAAGGCTAAACAGGGATCATTAATAAAGTCTGTTCGTCAACCAGAAGAACCTGCAATAATGGATTTAAGTTGGATAAATTTAGATTTAGAAAGGACATAGGTAAGTACTGGTTTTCTAACAGAGTTGTAGATGCGTGGAACAGTCTTCCCAGTGGGGTGATAGAGGCTAGGACCTTGGGTAGCTTTAAGAAGAGACTGGACAAATATATGAGTGGGAGGGGCTGGGTTTGATTGGTGTTGGGGGGTGCTGGAGTTGTTTCTTGAGTAGCTCTAGGTAGTTGTCGTTTTGATAAGGACCTGCCTCGTATGGGCCAGTAGGCCTTCTGCAGTGTTCCTACATTCTTATGTTCTTATGTTCTACCACTATTACAACTGTTACCACCATCACTACTACCTTCTACCACCATCACTACCACCAAAGAAAGCTTCTAGTGCCAGCCCTTTGGTAAAGAATGTGAGAAACATAATTTATGAAAAAGTTTATAGAAAAATACAAAGATGGTGGTGGTAGAGTGGAAGCAGTTGTTTTAATGGTTGATGAACATGAGAAAAGGAGGATCACTGCAGTAGGGCCTGTTTGGCCCATGCTCGGCAGGTCCTTTACAATTCATCCCACTAACGAAACATTTCCCAACCCAGTCCTCAATACTACCCAAGAAATAAGCTCTGATAACTCTTCCACTCATTTGCAAGTCCCAAATCAGTGGTTTAGAGTTATCAGAGCTTATTTCCTTGGGTAGCATTGAGGACTGGGTTGGGAAAATGTTTCGTTAGTGGGAGGGAATTTGTAAGGGACCTGCCGAGCATGGGCCAAAGGCCTGCTGCAGTGATCCTCCTTTATGTTCTCAACCACTATCGCAACTGCTTCCACTCTACCACCACCACTTTGTATTTTTCTACAAACTTTTTCATAATTATGTGTTTCTCACTTTCTTTACCAAAGGGCTGGCACTAGAAGCTTTATTTGGAGCCATGGTAGCTTATTTAGCACTTGCAAGCACTAAATCAATGGAATATTATGAAATATTTTGTAGGAGCATGTGAGGGGACCGTCACTCACTGGTAAACAATGGCACACTGGCTGGGAAGGAAAGGCCGAGGCGGCTCAGAGCGTGAGTACGCGTCCAAGACGAAGAACTATTAGGACTATTAGCGAGTTACCGGACCATTTGCGAGCCAATATTTTGACAAAAAAACAGGACTATTTCCGAAATGGACGACTTTCAGGCCGGACGATTATTGAGGGACCACTGTACATCAAAAACCCTGGGTTGTAAGCCGTACTAGTACGGCCAAAACCCTCAAAGGGTTAACAAGTTAATGCTCATAGTCTTGGGGTTGTGTATTTGTAATATTATCTTTCCACCAAATTCACCCCTATGCACTTGTGTGCTTATAACTTTACTATTCATAGCTTATTAAATTTTTTTTTTTTTTAGCACACTGGCTCTCTCCCACTGAGGTAGGGTGACCCAAAAAAGAAAATTTAACCATCATTCACATCATCATTGTCTTTCCAGAGGCACGCAGATGCAACAGTGTAGATGTCACTCTAAACAGCAAATATCCCAAACCCCCCATCATTAGAGTGCAGGCACTATGCTTCCCACCTCCAGGACTCAAGTCCAGCTAACCAGTTTCCTAGAATCCCTTCACAAAATATTACCCTGCTCACATTCCAACAGCTCATCGTATTATCTTTGAAAAATTAGAATATCCAGTGAAGAGTAAAACAATGTTAATAAATGATAAATTGCATAGTTAAAATTTTTAATTTATTTACATTGGATATCCATACATTTCCTGTGTAGTAAGTGGGTAAACAATAAAATAATAAAATAAAATAAAATAATTTCTGTACAACCATTTTAATGCATAACAACTATGTATTTTATTTTATTTTTAACATGTACACTTTCCTTACTCTGTGAGACTGCATATACTCCCCAGTGAACATCTTACTAGTTTTTGAACTAGTAAGTAAAGAGTATCGATTGATAGATACTGTTAATTTTAATTTGCCTTGCATGACTTGTAATGCAGTTGAAGGAAATCCTATACCTTTTTTCTGCTTTGAAATGTGTGTTCCCACCTGATTCACTGGTGTGCAGTTTTTGAGAATTTCATTTTATATTTATTAGAAAAATTTTGAAATATTGACTTGCTGCAAGTAGCATTGATAATGATTGAAAATTTATGAGCTTGTACCCCCAGTTTTTTAAAATTCTGTGGAATGCTGATTTTATGTAACTTATTGGAGACCTGTGTGTGAATTCAAAGTTGATTTTTTAATGATTTCATTTGCTGAGTTAATGCTTATAATGTAAGGAAATGAGAGACGGAGACGAATGGTACTTGGGACCTGACGATCTGTTGGAGTGTGAGCAGGGTAATATTTAGTGAAGGGATTCAGGAAAACCGGTTATTTTCATATAGTCGGACTTGAGTCCTGGAAATGGGAAGTACAATGCCTGCACTTTAAAGGAGGGGTTTGTGATATTGGCAGTTTGGAGGGATATGTTGTGTATCTTTATATGTGTATGCTTCTAAACTGTTGTATTCTGAGCACCTCTGCAAAAACAGTGATAATGTGTGAGTGTGGTGAAAGTGTTGAATGATGATGAAAGTATTTTCTTTTTGGGGATTTTCTTTCTTTTTTGGGTCACCCTGCCTCGGTGGGAGACGGCCGACTTGTTAAAAAAAAAAAAATAATAATAATATACCTGGAGATTGTTTTGGGGGGTTAATGTCCCCTGGTCCATGAAGAAGTTTCTTTTCCTTTTTAATATAGTTTGATAATTTCCAGTTTTACCTCTCAGGTATTTGATGACCTTCTGGATGGAGACAAAACAGGATACCCACCATACTTCACCAATGTAACTGGCCTTACAAACTACTATAACTACATTGCTAATGGAGAGCCTGAGGTGAGTCATTGCTTTGTGTAAGAAGAACTAGTAATCAGGCAGTGCCTCTGCCCTGACCTTGGTAGATTTGTAGTTTGACTACATTGTATGTCATAAGTAATGTCTGTACTATAGTTTTAACATTGCTTCTCAGTGGAAAATCAGATTCATTTAATGTATTTTTCACTTAATGAACCATTCTTTCTGTCCCTATCTACATTAGTAAGTGGAAGTAGTGTAAATGGTTTAGCTTCCTACATATTCACTCCCTTCAATCTGATATCCAGTATATTTCATTGCCTAGCTGCTGTGTTACTCTCATCATCTTGTTCTTTTTGATATTCACTTTTAATTAACTTCTTTTACATGCCCTCCCATACTTCACCACTAACCATGTCTCTGGCATTGGTTGGCCATAATTGATTTAATGCATCCCATGACTAGTAATATAATTTTTTTTTTTCAACAAACTGGCTGTATCTCACTGAAGCAGGGTGACCTAGAAAGAAAAAAAAGTTTCTTTTTTAAAATTTAGTAATATATACAGGAGAAGGGGTTACTAGCCCCTTGCTCCCAGTATTTTAGTCGCCTCTTAAAACATGCATGGCTTACGGAGGAAGAATTCTGTTCCACTTCCTCATGGAGAAGTAATATAACTGTTCGCTGTAAATAAAGCATATTTAATTTTATGCACTAAAACCTGAGATTACTTTTGTAATTCATACATGGATAGATGAAATATTGATAATGTGCACACATTAATGTTTATTTATATTTTAAAATACAGTGATACCTCAATATTCGAGCTTAATTCGCTCCAGTGAGTAGTACAAATACTATTGAATAATTTTTCCAATTAGAAATAATGCAAATTGGATTAATCTGTTCCAAACCCCTAACAATTACCAATTATAAAACATTTTAAGTGAAAATATTGCTTATTTAACCCTTAAACTGTCCAAACATAGATCAGCATTCACGTGCATACTGCTCTGAATATTTTTGGGAAAAAACAATTTCCTTTTTTTAAATGAAGAGCGCATTTTTCCTGGCATCCCCAAATTTTGTCATACTGCACACACTGAGTGCACAGACTCATTCTCTCATGTCTAGGCAACTCAAGGTTGAAAGCATGTAAAATAAAACGTAGATCTACGATCAGAGCGCTACTCATGTGAACGTAGCTCTACTTTTGGATAGTTTAAGGGTTAAACCTCTATAATAATATTTGAATGCATAAAATCATACATGAAAACTATAACAACAATAAATAAAAAAAATAAATGAAAATTTAACTGCACTTCACCTTTACTGAGGAGTGCTGATGGCCTTAGAAGAAGGTAGAGAGATGTTTTGTTTGGAAAGTGTGTTTTTTCTCTTTTCTGTCTCTATGTAGTAGCACATGAAGATGATGAGGATTCGTTAGCATTTCATTTTTTTGTCTTTGCTAAAGAAGCTATCTAGTGTTGTCTGCTTTTGACGACTTTTCAGAATTTTTCTAAAGTGGTCATCAACATTGTCATTGAACAGGTTGATGCTCCTAGTCACAAGAGTAGTGTTAGGATGCCATTTTTTCACTTGGCTCTGTATTTGAGCCCATTGGTAAAACAGTTCCTTAATTTCTGCAGTGGAAATGTTGCCCTTACTGCTTCCCTCCTCTGAAGAAGAAGAAATTCTCTCAACTATTTCATCTTGCTGCTCATTATTGCAGGTCATGAAGTTTTTCTATGGTGAGCTCATTCTTGTGAGCCTCCACCAACTCCTCTACATCCTCATCATCCATTTGCAAATCCATGGACTGGCCCAGAGAAACAGTATCTTTCACTGTATATAGGCTCTGCCTCAAAGTATTCAAAATCTTTGATTGACACACAGTCTGGCCACAATTTTTTCCAGGCAGAGTTCAGTGTTCTGAAAGGAGGATATTAAAATGGTTTTTCCAAAATTTCCTAAGGGTAAGCTCTGCTTCAGAGGTCACTTTAAAGCACCTTTTAAGCATTGCTTTTGTGTAAAGTTTCCTAAAATTGGAAATTAACTGCTGGTCCATGGGTTGGATAAGAAGAGTGGTGTGAGGAATTCATATTTTATTCTCTACAGTAGTAGTTTAACAAACTTTAATCATTGTGAAGGTATAACAGACCTTTCAGATACTCAAAGGGTATTTGAAAGGACCATTCTTCTCTATGAAAAGATAGAAAAAACTTTATAACAAGAAAAATAATTAGTTTTATTTAAAATATGCACAAATAAAATTATTATTCTTCTTTCAACAAACTGGCCATATCCCACCGAGGCAGGGTGGCCCAAAAGGAAAAACGAAAATTTCTCCTTTAAAATTTAGTACGTAATACCGTAGTCCCCCCAAATTTGCAGGGGTTATGTTCCAAGACCACCCGTGAATTTGGAAAAATCATGAATTCTGGACACAGTTAAAAAATGCCTACTTTTATAGTTTAAACCCTAAATATGCCCCCAAAACACTTCAATTTAATTTCAAACTCAGTTTCATACATCACCCTTAAAAAAAAAGAATGTAAAGATAAGCCCATATACAGTACTGTACGTATACTGCTATGTCTCCTGCAGTGCTAGAATGTAAAATACCGATGTTAGCCCCATATGTACTGTAATTTATGCAAGCCCATTTTCTTTGGTATACTGCAAGTCATGCAACCACGTTTTCTTTGGTATATGTACGATAAATCTACAGTAATAATATACTGTAAATATATGGTAATCATTTTTAATTATTATTAACACATCGGCCGATTCCCACCAAGGCAAGGTGGCCTGAAAAAGAAAAACTTTCATCATTCACTCTACTGTCTTGCCAGAGGGGTGCTTTACACTACAGTTATAAAACTACAACATTAACACCCCTCCTTCAGAGTGCAGACACTGTACTTCCCATCACCAGGACTCAAGTCCAGCCTGCCGGTTTCCCTGAATCCCTTCATAAATGTTACTTTGCTCACACTCCTACAGTACGTCAAGTATTGAAAGCCATTTGTCTCCATTCACTCCTATCAAATACGCTCATGCACGCTTGCTGGAAGTCCAAGCCCCTCGCACACAAAACCTCCTTTACCCCCTCCCTCCAACCCTTCATAGGCCGACCCCTACCCCGCCTTCCCTCCAGTACAGATTTATACACTCTCGAAGACATTCTGTTTTGTTCCATTCTCTCTACATGTCCGAACCACCTCAACAACCCCTCCTCAGCCCTCTGGATAATAGTTTTGGTAATCACACACCTTCTCCTAATTTCCATACTACGAATTCTCTGCATTATATTCACACCACACATTGCCCTCAGATATGACATCTCCACTGCCTCCAGCCTTCCTCGTTGCAACATTCATCACCCATGCTTCACACCCGTACAAGAGTGTTGGTACAACTATACTCTCATACATTCCCCTTTTTGCTTCCAGAGACAGAGTTCTTTGTCTCCACGGACTCCTAAGTGCACCATTCACCCTTTTCCCCTCATCAGTTCTGTGATTCACCTCATCCTTCATAGACCCATCTGCTGACACGTCCACTCCTAAATATCTGAATACATTCACCTCCTCCAGTATTTCGCCACCTAATCTTTTTGTTATCCTCATAACCTTACTCTTTCCTATATTCACTTTTAATTTCCTTCTTTTACATACCCTACCAAATTCATCCACCAACCTCTGCAACTTCTCTTCAGAATCTCATAAAAGCACCGTATCATCAGCAAAGAGCAACTGTGACAACTCCCACTTTGTGTTTGATTCTTTATCTTTTAACTCCCCACCTCTTGCTAAGACCCTAGCATTCACTTCTCTTGCAACCCCGTCTTTAAATATATTGAACAAGCACGGTGACATCACACATCCTTGTCTAAGGCCTACTTTTACTGGGAAATAATCTCCCTCTCTCCTACATAGTCTAACCTGAGCCTCACTATCCTCGTAAAAACTCTTCACTGCTTTCAGTAACCTACCTCCTATACCTGTAACATTTGCCACATTGCATCCCTATCCACCCTATCATATGCCTTTTCTAAATCCATAAATGCCACAAAAACCTCTTTACCCTTATCTAAATACTGTTCACCTATATGTTTCACTGTAAACACTTGGTCTACACACTCCCTACCTTTCCTAAAGCCTCCTTGTTCATCTGCTATCGTATTCTCTGTCTTACTCTTAATTCTTTCAATAATAACTCTACCATACACTTTACCAGGTATACTCAACAGACTTCTTCTTTCTTTCCACAAACTTGCCGTATCCCACCAAGGCAGGGTGGCCCAAAAAGAAAAACGAAAGTTTCTCTTTTTAAATTTAGTAATTTATACAGGAGAAGGGGTTACTAGCCCCTTGCTCCCGGCATTTTAGTCACCACTAAAACACGCATGGCTTAAGGAGGAAGAATTCTGTTCCACTTCCCCATGGAGATAAGAGGAAATAAACAAGAACAAGAACTAGAAAGAAAATAGAAGAAAACCCAGAGGGGTGTGTGTATATTTGCTTGTACATGTATGTGTAGTGTGACCTAAGTATAAGTAGAAGTAGCAAGACGTACATGAAATCTTGCATGTTTATGAGACAGACAAAAGACACCAGCAATCCTACCATCATGTAAAACAATTACAGGCTTTCATTTTACACTCACTTGGCAGGACGGTAGTACCTCCCTGGGCAGTTGCTGTTTACCACCCTACTACCTAGGACTCGACAGACTTATTCCCCTATAATTTTTGCACTCTTCGATCCCTTTTGCCTTTATACAAAGGAACTATGCATGCTCTCTGCCAATCCCTAGGTACCTTACCCTCTTCCATACATTTATTAAATAATAGCACCAACCACTATATCCCCACCTGCTTTTAACATTTCTGTCTTTATCCCATCAATCCCAGCTGCCTTACCCCCTTTCATTCTACCCACTGCCTCACGAACTTCCCCCACACTCACAACTGGCTCTTCCTCACTCCTACAAGAAGTTATTCCTCCTTGCCCTATACACGAAATCACAGCTTCCCT